TCGGCCGCACCGCCGGCCATGGTGCCCAGCAGGACGCTGTTGATCTCGATGACCTTCTTGACCGTCTGGGAGGCGATCCAGTTGCCAGCCGTGGCGCGGGAGTCAGTAGCGACGATGATGCCGCCCTGGAAACGGAAGGCGAGCGTTGTCGTGCCGTGAGCAATCTTGATGGGACAGTCGGGATTTGATCGGTCATCTGTGGCGGCTCGGAGCCAAGATGACGGCTGCGTTGCGCATGTTAGCTTTCTGACTCGGTGGATTCTCTTTGGGAAACCAAAGCGTCCATTTTGATGACGGGCGCTTCTTTCTAGGGCTGCTTGACGAACCTGAGAAATGGGAGGCATGGCAAACTTGGTGGTCAGGGACGACGTGGCATCCATCATTTCCTGTGCCTCGTTCTCGAACGGCTCATTTTGCTCATATGCCGGCCGGCTGTATCTAGATACAAGAGTATCCATGGTAGCGATAGAGAGATGAAAGTGGGAGGTGACTCGGTCCGCAAAAGGGCTTCGTGATGCCCAGTTCGGTTCGTTGGTAGAACACGGCCGGGAATGCTAAGGTACAAGTTGACAGCCAGAAATCTGGCGGAGGTTAATAGTTGTGGGAAGATGGGTAGAGTCGTGGCGGATTGATGGTGCAGGCCGCTTCAGGATGGAGACGTGTGGTTGAAGGTGCCTATGGGAGCCTATCCCTTTGATTGTGTTAAGGCTCCAGCGAGGTCACGAGCCCCACAATGCCCATGCTGATAGCGGGTGACCGTAAGGCGACCCGTTAATCGCGTTAGGGCTGTATAGAGTTAAATGTAGTGACTTGTAAAGCATTATTTTATAAGTACTTTAATTATCACTTAACTTATTAGTAATTAAGTGTACCTTTTTAAATTTAGCATCTCATTGGATATATATCCCTGCAGATACCCGACTGGAGCCTTAACACAACCAAAGGGATGGAGGAGGTTCGACGTTGGCAAGTCAGGCAGCTTCCGTATCGCGCGTCACCAACAGCAGAGCAGCAGAGCTTCTTGGTCCAGCCGGATAACCAATCAGAGTGCAGCATGGACTGGAGGTACCTGCATGGCCGGTTACATAACACGGACCGAACTGGAGTGGAAAGTTGGTGCCTTATCGCCTGGCACACGGAGTGAGTGTATTACATGGCGACGATGACGAAAATGCTTGGTCTTATCCTACACAAAAAAAAAAATGAAATAAAAATAGAGAATTTGGGTCTATTTAGTTGGCTTGGTTTCATTGAGTGCAGTTGGGATAGCGCAATAAGTATAATCGAATTCATTCCACAAAGACTATTCAACTAGGATATCAAGCCTAACAATACGATTTTCCTTCCCTATCTCCCTCCCTTGAATGGTTACAATCAGAAAATCTAACATCCTCTTTTGCCTTTTCACTGTCGAATCCTTGGTAACCGCATCCCTTAGAGACGAGAGGATTGGTCGGAAAAGGTTTAAAAGAAAGAGAGAAAAAAAAAAAAGGAAGGGGCGGATTTCCCACAAACAACCAGAAACTAAAGAGATGCTCGCCTCCGCAAATAAGACCATACCACACGTAAAATACTATGAGGAGCTGCTTCGTAAATCATGCTATCCAGAATAGCATATGCAGATTCATATGAATACCAATGTGAAAAGAGGCTTAGAAAGACACCCAGAATACGGCAGCCCCAACCTAAGGGTTAGGTGTCGTTTCCCGGCTAGCTCGAGACTCTCGCTTGCTCAAGAAACTACGTCGAAGGTTGGACTTTGGCGTATCGGGCGCGTCTGTTTCAGCGGGCTGGAAGCTGCTCTTGAGCGTGACTGTACCATCACCAACAGCAAGCTCCTTTGCATGTCCGGATCCACTCTCATCCACAAAGTAGATATGCTCTCCAAGTTCGTCACTACTTCCAATGAAGTGATCTCCCTTGGCCTCAACCTTGAACTGGGCATCAGCACCGCAAGTGACCTTGAACGTCTCCTCAAAGCTCCACTTTCCATTTGATGACTTGAAGTGCTTCGTCTTGCCAACGACCTTCTCTTTTGGTGAAAGCATTGACACCTGGATGAAAAGATCTGTTGACAAGGGGTAACCAGAGGCACCCACAATAGTAAAAGTAGCGGTGCCTTTTGGACCGCTGCCCGGTACAGTACTATGGATTGAAGTAGCAATGCTCTTCGTCCGGGCATGGCTGGGAGAGCTCGCCTGCGATATGCTGATAGTCTGCGCCACATCTTGAGATTCAGAGAGCCCAGGAGCTTTTCGCAGCCCGGGCTCCATTCCTAGAACCCCCTCATTGGATGTGGTGGCAATGACTGGAATCTCAGGATTTTCTGGCAAGGTTCCGTTTTCCTTTTCTTTCTTGCCGCCAAGAAGACCGCGCTTTAGGAATGATGCACCTTTGCCGACACCATGACCGACAACGCCAGCCACAGCGACGCCTCCCTTGATGGGGGCTCCAGCAACGCCCGTAACGATTCTAGTAGGAGCTCCCAGACCGGAAAAGGTTGAAGTTCCGTGAATGCTTCTTGTGATGTAGTCTGGTCGGAAGAGCAATCGCAGACGAATGGTACCGGACTTTCCGTCCAGAATGTATCTGGACTCACTGGCTTTGAACGGCTCGAGAGAGTCCAAGTTAATTACAGCCGCGCCTAAAAAGTCGGGCTTGTCGGCAAAATCATAATCGTACACATCGACACTGAACTTGGCTGCGGTTCGCGAAGGAACGGCAACCTCAAAGTACTCGTTCCATGTTGGATTGAGAGTCTTCTTGATAACCTTGGTTTTGTATACCTCCTCGCCGTTGAGCTCAAACTTGCAGTATGGATCGCTCTTTCCGTTTCGGTCGGCAGATGGTAGTTCTGCAGCATCAAGAACATCCACACGAAGTTTGCCCATGTTGTTGATGCTTTCGCTCGGATCCAGTTCCATCTTGATAGGAATGTACTTGAGGCTGACCTTGACCCATCCATCCTTGCCGTCATCTGTTCGCAATTTGAGCATTGTTGGGTTGTTCTATACCGTAAAATTAGCGCCCCATTCGAATCTTTACTCCTTCAAATTCTGTCATCATGTAGCCTCCACATTTCTTTCACTTACCAAGCACTGCTTGAGCGTCTCCATCGTATTTCCAGTGAGTTGGGCCAAAGTTTGGTCCTTGTCGTCACCTTTCTTGCGAGCTTTCAAAGTGAGACGGGAGAAGTCAAGTTCACGGATGACACAGTCGCCAATTTCATCGAACTTATAAGTCCTGGACGGGGCAGTCGAAGTAATGTAAGAGGCATAAGCCATGTCATCCACGTATATTTCGAGACGGCTGTGGCTTTCAGGCAATTCGGCATCCAGGAGGCGGAAGATGAGAAGACCACTTTCATGTTTAAGGAGCTCTTCAGGGCTGAGGCGGATCTTCGGAGGGCCCTGTCTCTCGACCGAGCGTCGGCTTGTAGTTTCAGAGTCTGCTTTGCCACTGCCTCCGTTTGAATTGACCTTCTCCAAGTTTGCTGGTGGTTTGTCCATACTAGCTCTGAACTTGCCAGCATTGGAAGAACGGTCAACGGAAGCGCGTGGGGTTTCCTCAGATTTGTCACCAGAAGCAGCTTTGCCATTAGCTTTCTCTGTCTTCGTGGGAGCTTCGACCCCTCCCTCCTCCTCCTCCTCCTCCTCCTCCTTCTCTTCTTCTTCGGGATCTGCAACGTTGAGGCAGGGATAGAAGGCGGCGGTATAGGTAAGCGTTCCTTTGGCAATGCCTTTGCCGTGTAATCGAAGGCCTTCATTGCGAACCGACTTTTTGTCATTTACCATGTATTCGCCTGTCTCCTCTTGGTGAACAAAATCACCAGCAAACAGTTCTACTAAACCAAGACTGCGGTCTTTGCCCACCTTTTCAGCATCCATAACTTCCAAAGTGAGACGGTCGCGGGGAGAATGGATGGGCACATAGAGAACCTCATCCCACTCAGGGTTGAGGTCATTCTTGAACGTTACAGTCCTTGCCTTATCAATACCGGAAAGCAGAACACGAACGTACGGGTCAGATTTGCCAAATGACTCAAAGTTTCGCAAGTCGGTGGCTTTTTGGAAGTGCAGCCTCATGACGCCGATTGGAGTAGAATAACCGCCCGTGCCAATGACGCCAGAGATGGCAACAGGTCGCCATTGCGCCATCATCTTGACGCGGCCAGACTGGGTCCCAGACAACTGATACCATTCTTTGCCTTGAGCCATGCAATCAAGAATTTCATCGAGTTTGATCTGATACATACCGAGCGAAGGGTCGCTGATAAGACCGCGATCATCCTTGATAGTAACACCTAGTTTAGCCTTGCGTCGGTCTGTGATGAGAATCTCTTTGGAGCCGTTGTCCCAAATGGGGTTATTAGTGCGCTTGAGTATCTTGGTTTGGTGAACTATCTTGCCGTTGAGGAACATGACCGCGTATGGGTTTAGAAGGCCGACCAAACTCTTGGTTCCATCCAGGTCTTTGGCTTGCTCGACAGTGAAGCGAAGAATTCCCTGGTTAGACTCTGGTGCCGGCTCAACCTTGCCATCGGGCAAAGTTTTGCTTTCAAGCACAGGGAAGAACCGTAAATCACAGGACACAACACCGCGAGCTTTACCATCTCCAATGACTTCCAGTCTCTCATTCTCATGGACATTGAGCTCTTCGAGGTCTTCCAAGCGAAATGTCGCAACACCAAGTTCCTTGGATTTTCGGAATTCATTCTTGTCGAATACCTGTATGTCGAGAGTGTCGTTGAAGGATGTCACAATGAGATAGTGAGTCTCGTTCCATCTTGGGTTCGCGTTGTCTTCGATGGTCTTGGTTCGGGCGAGTTCCTGACGGCGACTGAAGCTAATAGAAGCATATGGGTCGACGGTTCCAGCAAAGTTGTCTGAATTCTTGAGGCCTTGTGCGCCATGCAGAGTAAGCGCAAGAACGCCGACGGCTTGGTCAACCGGGGTGCCGGCGAGCATCTTTGCAATTTCGATGGGGAAGACATTCGGCGAATACATCATTGGCGCTAAGTTGCCGTGAATTTGCTCCAGGATGAAGCTCTCGAGACCGGGGATGAAGTTGATGTCGAAACCGAAGTTGTCGCCGCCAAGAGGTTTGCAGACATAATCAATCGTGGGGCGTTCGAGAAAGCACATTTCAATCCTGTCAACGTGGGGGAAAGGAATCTGGAGCTTAATCTTGAGTCGCATGATGCCGGAGAAAGACATGTCTTCCACAATAACGTCGAGACCCTTGCTAATCATGGCCTTGCCGATTCTTATCTCGAGCACGACCTTGGGGTTAATCTTGTTCTTAACCTGACGAGCCGTCATATCAGCCGTATCATTGGGAGTGAAACTGAATTTCCAGTCCATGATGACAATGTCGTCCTCGGTTTTGGGATATGTTTTGACATGCTCCATGCGAGGAGGCTTCGAGCCGAGAGTGAAGGTCTTGAGCTTCAGGCTGT